AGCATTCTACAATAATTAATATTAAATCAAGTTAATTACAAAATTATCATTTCTATCGTACTAATTGTTTCGATTCATCTTTAGGTATTAATAAAACTATTTATTATTCATTATCTTAATTTATTATTCATTATCTTCTATTTTATCTTGTGCAAATTGCTCACATTCATATGGAGAATTTCATACTCTATCATCAACTCATCTTTATTAGTCTATGTTGATGACATAGTCCTTTGAGATTTTTCTTGGAGTAAAAATCGCTCGTACTAAATCTAATATCTCATTTCCATGCTGCAACTCGTGTACTTAGATACTTAAAATTTACTCTTACTTTTTTTCTTTTCTTTTTTTAATTTTCTACAATGATTTGATTTCTCTAATTCATACTGGGATTTTTTTGGATACTCGCAAGTCTATTACTAACTACTGTGTCTCTAGACTCTGCTTTAATTTCTTTAAAATCTAAAAAACAATCCACAATCTCGAGGGGTGGAAAAACAAGTCTTATCTATTATGCATGTTTGTTTTTCCCGCACTTTTTCGTAAGACGGACCAATGTTTAAAGCATGTTCCTTCTAATATGTCGACTTTGATTGCCCCAATTTTTTTTTGGAAGATTTCTTAATGCACCCTTAATACTTCTTAGCCACCACGCAAAATTATTTAGATGCCTCTAGTTTTCAGAGATACATATCCGATCGCACCAAATTCTGAATGAACGTGAAATATTCCAAAGATGCATTTTTTGAACAATTTAAAATATTCAATACATTCCACTTAGAATTCATTTATATTAGAATTGTATTGGAGATACATCTCCGTGAATATTTCAAAGATACGTCTCCGTAACACATCAGAACATGTCTTTCATGTTATATGTTGTTTACATATGTTCAAATGAAGATTTAAACTATATTGTACAATAAAAAATAAATATCTACATACATAATTCCAGATGCTTCAAAAATGCTATACAAAAATAAAATACCCATAAATATAAAAAATGTCATACAATGGAGATCAATACAGTATCAAGACCGTCAAAATAAAATACAAATCATTGTACTACTACTATATACTAAGAGACTACTATGTGTGTATGACTATCTCTCGTCTACCTCTTCGGCCATCAATCCCCTTGTCCTCTAACGTTGTCTTTGGTATAACAATGTGCCACGTGTCTGGTCATGATGGCATCTAGGATCTGCCTCACATCAAACCCATAAGGGAAGATACCTCTATTAATGTCTGTCTGCGCAATCTTCACTATGTGATGACATCTAGGAAAGAGATCATCAGTATGATCTAACTGTGTCTGCTCTTCCTCTAGTATCTCCTGATGAGCTGGCCTCGGTGGTTCTTCTTGAGCAGCATGCACCATGTACGGATGTGACACCCTGAAGAACCATATGATGTACCCTTTGACGTAGCTCAAGTCACTATCAACTATGGTAACCCGTGTCTCCTCTGGTACCAGATGACTCTCATTATCATCAAACATATCCTCTATTTGTCTACGTGTCAAGGCAGGATGAGCAGATACAATATGGTGTTTGGGAATGGTCTAAGTGTAACCGAACTGCCGCATGACGCACTCGGAAAGATGAGGAGCAGTGAGACGCGATTCGCAGGCCAACCATCCAGACTATAACAATAACTCATCAAATGGTTGTGTCTCACGGTGATCAACGTAGCTGTTGAAGTGCATGTCCTCAGCAACCAAACGGTCAATATACACTCTAAAAAGCTCGGTCGCACGGTTTTCTCTGACCGAGATAAAAGTAGTAGCACATGGCATATCCTCAATGTAATTAGCTACACTCACCTAGCCAGAGATGCGCGAGAAGTGCTGGAGGATCCAAGCATAAAATGAAAAGTTTGGAACACATGAATCATCAGTAATGGCTTTACAAAGATGAAATGAAAATGAAAAAAAACATTCAAAGACCAATAATTATTACCGTCAGTAGTGTCACGCTCCGTGTGACTTGCTTCGTCTTCCACATACAACCCTCTATCAATTTCAAATACAAGTAGACCAAACAAGCCACCCCAGTAGTACTCATGGACCCGCTCAAAATCCACGAAGTATCATAGGTGGACGACGTTTATATAGGTGACACTTTTGTCCACAAAAATTGCAGTGCTAACCAAATAAAGCAAGTATGCTCTAAATGCATGTGATCTGTGAAGCACCACCTAATCATCATCATCATCCTGTTGTGCACTCAGGATCTCAGGATCATATAGCTTCTTTAGGAATTCAAATCTAGCATGAGCACCCCTAGTCTTATCCAACTCATTCATCGCCTATGCGGATCAGTCCCCAGAGACTCTAGCATCATCTCGAGTGCCTCGTCTTTGGTTATCCTCCCATGATTTAGGAACCTCCCCATAATCGGAAGATGTAGCAAACACGAGGCATCACCAAGTGCGATAGACATCTCACCATGCAGGAGATGAAATGACGAGGTCTCAGAGTGTCATCTCTTCACGGATGCATTAAGCATCTTGTGGTTGACCGTAGAATAACCGATCATGCACAAGTCCTTCAAGCTAAATAAGAATAAAACTTACTAAAATCAATTCTCATTCAACTGAGGCAAGGCAACAATCTTCCTCCTGTGGTTAAGAAACTTCTGCGGATCACGCTCCTGGAAAAAAAATCAATGTCAGAAATTCTTCAGTTAAAATTGACGTAAAAAAAATAATGAATCCAACTAATGCTATCTCTCCGTCCCAGATATGTATGGAAGTATGATCTGGATACATAGACAATAATGACAAATCAACTGGGTCTCCTCCAAATGCCTCTGGCTTAGCATCAACATCCTCAGTCTCCGGAGGTGGCACTTGATCAACAACATCAACAGTAGAAGGTGGAAGTGGATCAACAACATCTATAGTAGGAGGTGACACTGGTGAAACCTAACACCCGCGAGAGGACAGAAGGAGTGATACGTCAGATGGTGAATCCTGTCTCCTACAAGAAGAAGAGGATGGAGTGGCATGAGGAGAAGCACGAGCCCTAGATGTAGATGGGTCTGCCTGATCAAAGGAACCATAGCCTCTGAAACATGCCTCGGTCTATTCTGCCTATCAGCCGTTATGCTTGTAAGTTAAAGTAAGACAGACCAATAGTGCAAGGAAATAACACACAAGCAAAAACATAAAAAATAAAAATACTGCAGAAAATTCCGAAAATGCATCTTCGGAAGCTTGGAAACTAAAACGTTGAAAAATTTCAGAGATGCATCTCCAGAATTTCCTGAAAAACTAAAACACTGAAAATTTCCGAAGATGCATCTCCGAAATTTCCTGCAACTCAGAAGTTGCGTCAGTGTACCTCATGCAATCTCAAAAAAAACTTATTTTGATCATTATTTTTAGCCAACAAACATCTAATACACTATGTCTAAACTATCTTAAATGTCATTTCTAACCTTAGTAAATGATTTCTACTCATTTACTTAAAAACTCTAAAATTTATCAAAAACTCAAAAAACTTACAAGAGATTGATGTTTTTGGTGTTACAGATGATGATTGAAGTTCCTTTAAGTCTTGATAATTGAGTTGAGTTAGTGCAGAGAAAAACTTGAGAGAGTTTGAAGATTGGTTTTGAGTAAAATGAGAAATGAGGAAGAAGAAGAGTCTGACGCGATTTAACCTCCGAAATGTTTCGAAGATGCATTTCCGAAATATTTTGATGTTCACTGACCTTTTAGTGCGTCTGGAGATGCATATCTAAAAAACTAGATACATTTTTAGAATTTCGCCTGATGCATAAGAAGCATATGGGGTGCATTATGAAATTATTTTTTCGGACATTTGTGGACGCTGAAATTAAAATAAGTTTTTTTCTTTCACTTTTTAAGCTAAAACAATGCAGTACTTGCGGGCCTGCCCAGCCCCGTCTTCGTCTTTTTGCGGGACGGACTAAGAATTTAAGCCGATATTCTAAAAAATACTTGCCCCGTCCGCCCGCCCTTTTTTTACAAGCTTAGACATGCCTGTTTGCCACTCTTAATCTAGATCATTCTTTGAAGACGAATACAAAGCCTTAGCATGTCTTTCCTGTGAGATTCAATGACTACATTATCTGCTTTCTGATTTGCAGATTACACAACATGTTCATACTTCAGCATAGTAAGATAACACAACATATTCATACTTCAGCATATTATGACAATGTTTCGGCTATTTCCTTGACTCAAACCTATTTCATGATTGTACTATGCATTTTGAAATTCACTATCATATTATTAGTCAAGATTCAAAAAGGCATCATTCATCTATTATCGGTCAAGCCTCATCATGTGAATTCATTTCAAGCTTTAATTCACAAATCGAGACTTTGCAACATTCACAATTTAAATTTTATAGGAAATATTAATATTATTGGTTGTGTTTAAACTTAACTCTAGTTAGCTATATTCATAATTAGATTTAGCTCTTAACTATAATTAATTATAGCTAACTTTTGTTTTCCTGTTAGTTAGCCTTTTTCTCAACTTGTATATAAGCTACCAAATCAGTTTTTGTATTCGCTTATTCAGTTTATCATAATGAGAAATTTCCTTTCTTTACATCTTTCTTTAGATACTAAGACACATTTCAAACAAATATGATTTTCCTGCAATTTTCTGCAGTTCAAAGTAATAACAAGAATTCATAAAAGAAAAAATACATATAAAAAAAAAATATATGAATGAACATAATGATGGACAAATAATATGGCACATTAATGACATTGAAAGAAGAATGAAGAAAATAAAAGGAAGATCAACAGTTTCCATAAATTCATAGTTTCATACAGAAATACTTTCAATGCTTATAAAATGGAAGAAATACATCATGTAATATAAAGTTTGCAAAGCCATAATTACAATCTTAGACAATTAATTAGTTAAATCTTTTCAGCAAAAGGACACATTTAGGAACAATCACATTGATCTTCAATATAAATATAGCATTTCTTCCATAATGTAGTTTCCAATGATTAAGAGTCAGAAAGCAATGGTGATTCTTCCATGGTTGTAGCTTCTTGACTAACAATAGTGGATGCAGAGCAAGCATGTAATGCAGTGCATATATCTGTTGTCTTCAGGAACTTCTCTGCATTAGCTAGAATCAAAGGTCCATACTCAAAAACTGCCTTCTTGCACTGCACAAGAATTTGAAGATTAAGCAAAATCGTAGATAATCAGAAAATATCAGTTTGTTCGAATTCCACGGTACAGCAGCGCCATGACGCTTTTGTAGCCTCTATTTGACAATATTTTTTACTATATAGCATATTGCAGAACAATTGCGATTTGTTCAAATTTTGCTATGCTATAGCCGCTACTTAACAACATGCTACGGGCCTTGCATGAAAATCACTACTCAAAGTATGGTGGTTTAATGAATTGGATAGAATATAAATCTTTCTTAAATGTAACCAAACGATATCACGCAGAATGGCGTTTAAGAATAAAAGGGTAAATCAATAAATAAGAGAGGAAGAAACTGGAATTTCTCATATGTTTTTTACCTCCTTCTTGTACTTCTCCACAGAATCGCACGCCTTCAGTAGTTTCTCTAATATCTCTAGCTGTCATTTTACAATAAAGTCTTAGTTTGTGTACACAACAAAATGTGAAAATAAAACTAATATCGATAATATTCATTTTTGTGAAAGAAATAAAACAGCTCGCGGAAAGCAATAATACAGGAATCGTAGAATCTCAGATAAGAATAAAATTCCATTATCTGTTTGACATCAAACCATGGACTTTTTGAGAAAAAGTAAAAGTCTGCAAGTATATGAAAATTATGCAAAAACAATTTGTTGTATAGGTAAATCAAGTGTGGAACTTGAAAATGTAGAAAAATACTACTCATCATGGTTATCAGTATCTTACGAAATGTGTGATTTGTATCTCAGTTCGATACAAAATTGAATCTAATCAGTATGAATCCTAGTGTGTATCTATTTTAGACATGAATATCATATTGAATCCAGATTCATTATGTTAAATCCTAGTCCACAACGATGGAATATGAACCCCGATTCCTTCCAATGAATCATCACTTAAACTTAGTGTAGTAAGGCAATTTTTTTGTCGACCCTGTATAGTTAAATTGTTTAGAGGGTCCTATATGATATACTAGATATAAATTTTGCTATGTCACTTGTATTTACATATAAATATCATATTTTATTTATAAGTAATGTATTTTAGAATTCATAATAAGACTCGACGCACAATTCATAAAACAGTTCTTTTGATTCACGATATCAAGGAGGGATAAGGTAAGTCAGTCAAATCACTGACCTTAGTGTCAGGATCATTCAACTCAGCCAATAAGGCTGCAATGGTATCTTTGCAAAGGCCGCAGCTATTATTTCTATGAACTTGTGAAGAAATCTTTGCAGACTCACAAAGGTTGAACTTCTCGCAGACTTCATCGGGCTTCATTGGAGCTATTTCTGAGAAGAAAAGTGGAGCATAATAGTCCACCAATTTACCGCACTGTAAAGTGTGCAATACCGTACAAACAGAAATTAGTTAAGATAGGGCCAGACAAGCTAAACAGAAAAACAAGAAGCTAAATTCAATTTTTGCAACAGAAACCAAAAGAAGATCTACGAAATCTTAAGTAAAACAGAAACCAAAGAAGGAGACAAACCTCCTGGTTTAAAGACCGGAGTTGATGGCATTTATTGTGAAGTGAATCAATGATCTCTACCTGAGTGTCGTTATCTTGTAGATAATCAAGTACCTGAGTTGTATATTCCTCACAAAGTGAACACACGTCTGGTTTTCTGTTTAATTCTGCATACAAAAAATATATCAACAAGATTAAATAATGATGTTACATTGTAATACATCATAAAATCATCGAAAAATACTTCATGTAATGATTTTTCATCACATCATAAAATCATTGCATCATAAGTAAATTGAGTTTTGAGGGTTCTGAAAATTTTATTTTTAATGAAAATACTTGAAGAAACATGAGCTAAATTGTTTCCTAATAGGGTCAGACACGTGATTTTAAATCAAACCACAATTGCAGTTTGATGCGGTTGCGAGGACTAACACATCCGCAATATTGCTGTTGCGGATAGCAATTTAAAACCATGGTTAGAGGTTCAAATCCTAGAACAAATAATAGAGAACAAGAGATTCAGCCAATATTGTTACCAGAGTTCACTAATTCTCTTGCATCACAAACCCAGACAGCACCCAACACAATCAGAAACAAAATCCCCATTTTGCCCTCCATAGTCTCTGTAACAAACAATCAAAGAACACACTGTTAATTAACAACCAACCCCTTTGAAAAAAAAAAAGACAAAAATCAATAAAAAATAAAGTGCTATAAGAAATTCTCAAATTCACATATAATATCAAACAAACATAAGAAATTTGAACGGAAATAAACACATAATAACATAATCAATAAAATATTGTGAATTTTGATCAAAACATTAAAAAATTCATGAAAGAGTTAAACTACATGATCAAAACATGGGAAAATGATGTGAATTATAATAATAATAATAATAATAATAATAATAATAATAATAATAATAATAATAATAATGGAAGAGAAAAACGTAAGAATTAATTGACACAAGAAGAAGAAGATGAATACGTTTCAGGTAGGAGGGTTAGGGCAATGTGATGGGGACCTGCGTTTGGTGCCGACTGATGAGGGGTAGAGAAGAAGAGAACGGAAAGCGTGGCAAAAAGGTAAATACACAATTTATTTTCTGAAATTGTAGAAAGGCATATACGTATATAGTGGTGACAATTTCATCCATAAACCGACATGCTATTTATTGATTAATCAATTTAATAAATTCATCTATAAGCTTTAAAATATGGATAATAGATACGGTTAATGATTTATTATTATTCAATTTATCTAATATATAATGGAGATTAATTAGTATGCACTATGTAAAAAAATAGGTATCTGATCAGAAGGGGATTAAGGACTTGCTACACTGACCTGATCAGAAGGGGATTAAGGACTTGCTACACTGACCTGATCAGAAGGGGATTAAGGACTTGCTACACGCTGTTGATCCTGCTCACTGGTGTTGAGGAAGTAAGTGTTTGGACAGAGTGACAGCAAATACAGAAAAGGGTAAGAAGAGAATACCTTACTCTTGTGAAAGAGGATATTTATATAGAGATCTCAGTGCAGGGTCAACGGTCATTTGAGTTGGGCTGGATGGTCAGGCCCAACCCAAGTGACTGTTAGGGCTTACGTGGCGTAGTAAAGACCAGAACGTGGTCTTCACCCTAGTTCAATTGTCCTGTGATCTCTGGAAAGTGGGTTTGACCTGCTCTTTTGGAGGTAGACAGCTGGTTGGTGACGTGTTCCCGCGGAGGAGAGCACATGGAGAAAGTGTGAAAGACACGTTGTTTTGCCCGACAAGGGAGAAGGTTCTACCCGCGGAAGGAGAAGGTCTCGCCCGCGGAGGGCCATCTCCTGCTCGGCGGGGACTCCGTGCTCGACGACTATGGCCCAAGCTGAATTGAGTTTGGCAGAATATCATTGGGTTGGGTCTACCTGATCAAGCCGAAGTTCATGCCAGAACACAATCATTTACGGATAATAATTTAAGGCTAATACTAACTAGTGTTCCTATATTAAAAAAATATTATATATTTAATTTATAAAATATGAAAAAATTAATTATTTATATTTTTAGTGTATTAAATATAAATATTTTAAAAAAAAATATGCATTTTTAGACTTTTATAAAAATACTTAACTTACTTCTTTTAATTTTTTAATCAATGGTTCGAAAAAACTCGATAGCATTTTCTATATTTAAATTGAAAGAAAAATCAAACATTAAAGTTATACGAATTAATTAATGTATAAAATATCTTAGACTGTTACACTAATCAATTTAATACTTATATTAAATTTGTCTATTATAAAATAATATATTAATTAATAGATAAAATCGGATTCATTCATTTACAATTGTATAGGAATTCGTCTATTAAGCACATTTTAAAATTTTAATATATTATTTCAAATCAAAGGTTACTTTTATAATGGTTGTCATTCTTTTAAGAAAATGTTTCTTTCATATATTTTTTTAACTCTCCTTCTAGTTATCTTTTTAAACAACTTTTTTTTTAAATTAATCTACAATATATTTCGATAACCTTGATCCAAATGAAAAAAAGTGTATTAGACGCAAGATTGTTATAGCAAGTCTTCATAACAGATATTTTTATTGTAAAGATTATACTTTTCAAATGTCATCTTGCTTTCTTTTAGACATTGAAAGATGGGTTCTTCAAGATTTTTATTGAGTCCAGATTTATATGTGCTTAGGTTCGGATGTTATTTATTTCTCGTTGCACTTTACACATGCTAAAGTCTCAGAATATACGGGATTGCGGATTTGGGAATAAAAAAAGCCTTGCAACAATATTACGTTTTGGAGTGTTTAACTATTTAGAGGGATGTAGATGGTTATGCCAAGTTAGTTGATAGTGTGTTAGGCAGCTCTAAGCAATATAAGTTGGGCCAAGAAAGAGTTCGTATTGAGGAGAAAGATGCAAATGTAAGCGCTAACGTCAAGCAATGCCTTCGTAAGATTGCAAATGGTCACTTCAAAGCAGTTGTGAAAGTGTTAGGGTCATCCGGAGTAGCCCATTATAATGTACATACTATTAAGACTTTGAAGGCTAAACACTTGTACAAACTACCTCCCTCCATGCTAACCACTTTGTTCTCTGAAGTTCCTCCAATGGTTGAAGTTGATACTGTCTTGAGGTGCATTAAGTCATTCCCCATAGGTACTTCATGTGGTAGAGATGGTTCACAAGCTCAACATTTATTGGACGCAACGTGTGGAAATGGTTATGTTATGTCTATAGATCTCTTAGGTGCGATCACTATGGTTGTTAATATATGGTTGAGAGAGAGATGCTTGTTGAGTTTGTCATAGTTTGTTGCCTTTGCATCTTTGACGCTGTTATTGAATCCTTATGGTAGGACACGACCAATTGTTATTGTCGCTACGTGAAAAATGCAAAGGCTCCACCAAACTTTATTTCTTTATGAGGAAAGAGAAAATATCGATAAAACCTCAAAAGGTGAAGAAAATGGTCGTCGCAACCAAATTCGGGTTCGGAAGTCGATTATGCAAGTGGAAGGTATTAGCACCTGTCATACCCTAAATTTTACCCCCTTAGATTTCATCATCATTTGCATGAGTATTATAGGTCAATCATTCATGCATGAACTAACCAGATCATCTAATTTTGTGGTTTTGTTTCTTTTGTGGAATTAGGGTTTTGGCCAAGAAGCTAAAAGCACTGATTAATCAAGATCTGGGAGGAACATCAACCAAGCAAGTCCTCACACACTTCAAGGGTTCCTAAAATGCTATTTAGTCCACCACAATTCATTTCAAGGGCTTCTTATGTGGTTGGGAGAAATTTTGAATTCATCTGATTAAAAGGCAACTGAGGCACTATGAAAGTCAACATTTGAGTTTTTGTTCAACCATGAACGTTTCAAGACACATTCCTTGATCTCATAAGATTTGATCAAAAAGAAATAGATGGAATCACAAAAATCAAGAGAGGTGGTGAAATTAGGGTTTTAGTAGAGATTCTAAACTGAGGAAGTCAAAAAATTTAGTTATCTTGCAGAGACCGTATCTCATTCATCTTTGAGCCAAAGGGAGCAAACTAATGATCTTCGTAAAGAGGATATCCTAAACTACAAATGTGTAGAAGGGATCATGTTCAAAGGATGAATAGATTTGGGAGTTATGCGTGCACAAATTTAGAAAGACCTTGATTTGACAGTTTCAGAAGATCAAGTGGCACCGTTTCAAGGTGTTGGTATATGAATCCCTTATGGTGTCAAATATTGAAGGTTTGATTTCAAGCACAAGTTACTTGAAAACCTAAGGTGTTCATTTTCATTGTTTCTAGTTCAATATCCAAATGGCATTCAAGCTTCACAATTCACTTCAAGTCCTTGTTCCATTTTTGGAATTCAAGATACTACATTTTTGTCACCACGTGGGGAGTTATTGTTTGGATATGATTTGAAGACAATTTGGCACAATTAGGAAGTTGTTCTATTCATGTTACAACCTTTTGTTTAGATACAATTTGAAACAATTGGAGAGTTACATAATTTGGGGTTACATGTCTTGATAACAAACTTGATTTAGTTACAACTTGTATGTTTTGTCACATTCACTACAACTAAAATTTCTTGTTCAAGTCACTCTTTTGTTACATTTTGGTTCAACTATTTACAATTTTTTCACTACAACATCTTCACGTTTTAATTCTCTTTGTCAATCGACCACGCCTCAATGATTCATTGTCATGCCTTGCTTTGCTTCACTATCTATGCCTCCATATGCCTTCACCATCCTTGAGTTTCCATCACACATCAATGTATCTTAATGTCTTGCCCAAATTCCCTACACAAAACAAAAACAAACATTCAAATTCAAATCAATTCTAAGACCGCACCAAGACCTCAAAACCATAAGCAAAAAACTCAAGTTCAACTTCATTCCAAAGCCAATTTTATTCAAAAAAAACATTCCAATTTCAACATACTTCAAATTCATGTCATTCACAATTCAAAATTCAATCAAACATTAACTCAAACCATTCAAATTATAATCAAATTCCAATTTTCAAACCAAACACAATCCACATTAAGTTCACCATAAATAATTCGAGTTCTTCAAAGTTAAGCACAACCCTAAATCATTTAAATCCAAACCATCAAGTTCATGTAACATTCCTTGTGTGTCACACATAATTTTTTTTACATACCACATACATCACAGATTCAACAGAAAGTGCAGCAGGAAGTTTTAAAGCATTAGGACAAATTCAGAACAAGACAAGTGCAAAACAATAACAGAAATTTCAGAATGAAAAGGGCAGCACATTTAAATACAGTTGTTCATAATTCATGAAGAAGGAAGGTTCAGAATAGCAGAATTAGCATCAGAAAACCTTAACACAAAATTGGAAAAAAGACAAACATATCACATCAGGTTTCAGAACGCAACAACCAAGGGAAGTCAGATTCAAAGACCAAGTTTTTATTCAAAAAGAGGGGAATCGATCAGAAAGAAGTGGAATCAATAAACTTTAGAGAGCATATTATCAGAGTAAAAAACACAACATCAGAGAAAAAAAGAAAAACCCGAGTTGACTCTCTAAAAAAGTTTGTTTCAAATCCTAACTACATGAAGCTCTAAG